TCGAACCAGATTCGTGTGCTACCGTCATCCCCGAACACAACACACCCTGATTACGACTGCATCGAACCAGAAAGATGGCTTGTATACATTTGGAATCAGGGTGCGTTAGATTCGTGCCCCAGGCGATCTCCATTGTATCCAAGAAAAGAAGACGGGAGGAGTGGCCAAAAATGAAGGCTTGGAACATGAGTGAGACTTTGCTAGAGTATGTGGTGTGTAAGGTGTCCGAGCGTCGATCGGACATCAGCGAAATTTGCACCAAAAGATTTCCATCAACAAAAAAGAAAAAGCATTTGTCCATCCTTCCCTTCGGGTTCTCGTTCCTATCACCATCTCCTCCTCCTCCTCCTCCTCCTCCTCCACCTCCGCCGCCGCCACGTGCCGTCCTCCTCCTCCGCATGTCGTCCTCCTCCTGTGGAAGAGGAGGAGGAGAAGAGGGCTAACTTATATTGATTGGTCTGTTCCTGGTGGCGGTAGATGTCGAAGACAGACAGACAGAAATAAGGAATGATTCCGACTGATTTATGGACTTGTGCTTGGGGGGAGTGGTTGGTTACCTATCTCTGAACAGACCTATTTGCGCAAGCGCAGGGCATTATTCGTGCCGAATCTTGCATAGATGATGATGATCGCGGATGCCTTGAAGTTCTTTAATGTGCGGTCAGAAGAGAGTCCTTTTGGGGTTGGGGGGGGAGGGGGGGGAGGGGAGGGAGGGGAGCAAAAGCGAGTAGTCCAGTTCCTTTTTTCTTTCGCGTTTTTTTTTTTTTTTTGAACCTGTGAGTGTCCGTTGCCGTGCGTGGTTATTTATAGAATGCCTTGTGATCGTTGGAGTGAAAGATGCGCAGGTTCAAAACAAAAAAAAAAGCATAGGCGTCGTTTCGGAATAACCGATAAAATTGGAATGATACAGTGAAGATTTCCCCGTGATCGATTGAGTGGAAGATAGCATGGCCGGCGTCCGCATATTAGAAAAAAAAAAAGGGAAAAAAAAAAAGGATGACATGCATAAATTGAGAAATGGTCCGGTAGGTCAGCAGTTATCCATGGTTTTCTTAAAAATTCTGGGGGTGTTCTGGATTTCTTTCGTAGTTCTCAGATTGTTCTTAGCTGAAACTCTTAGATTGTTCTTGGTCGAAACCTGTAGTTATCTTTGGTTTTCTTAAATTTCTCCTGAACTCTTGTAAAAAAAAAAAAAAAAAAAAAAGAGAAATGGTCCCCCAAAAAAAGAAAAGAAACAAAAGAGAAGATGCACATGCAAACGGCCGACGTCTTGAGTAATATCATCGTGCAAGAAGGGATTGGAGCTCGTTTCGTTGTCTGTTCGTTTGCTTGTTTTTATTCCTAAAAAGCTCCCGCGTTAGCGGCAGCCCTTCTCCCGCCGTGAAAGATGGCAAACAAGATGGAAAAGGACCCTTTTTTTTTTTTTTTTTTTTTTTTTTTTTTTCGTTTTTTTGTTTTTTTTTTTTTTTTTTTTTTTTTTTTTTTTTTTTCTTCCGACAATAAGGACCTTTCTTCGTTGTCGTTGGGCTTTTTTCTTTTTTATTCACTGTCGATTCGGCTACTGTGAGGAACAAGCCCTCAAGGGGCCCTATCAGACATCACACATTGTTCTGGGCTAAGGCCCCCAGCAAGCCAAGTGCCCGCCCTAAGTGAAGGCGGGCCTGAATATTCGTCGAAGGCAAAATTTGACATTTCCATAAGTGGGTATTCAGGCTCTCGCAGCACGCCAGTTGGTTGGGAAGACGCGTGAGCCTCACATTGCGGCGTCATACAGTTGGCCCAGGGCTTGACAGTTGCGCCTGGGCACACATACACAAAGCAGGGCCAATACATTGGGAAGCAGGCTTTAGGCCTTTGCAAAAGCAGTAGTGCCAACCCACCTGCCTGGGAGCCCTGCACAGATGCAGCAAACAGCCCAAGTCCGGAGACTCAGGCCGTGCCTAACTGCAAAGGGCCCAGGCCCTCAACTGTAGTCTCGGGCCTGGGCGCAGGGTCTGGGACCCAGCCGGAAGCTACTGGAAACTTCCAGCCAGGCCACACGCAGCATCCAGGAGGCTGCCACTTCCACAAAAGGAATGAGGCAGCGCAGGCCAGGCATTCTGGCCAGTGCTGGTATTGCGGAAGTGCTGCTGCGCTCTCGCTTGATGCTGCGCTGCTGCCAAGGGCGCTGACAGGGCGTGAGAGGTGTTGTGGGGTGCTGCAGGGCAGCAGGGCGCAGGCGGCCATAGCCGGGCTGCTGGGCGCCAGGGGGTAATGCGGGATGATCTGGTGGTCTTCAGGGAAGGAGGCGCTGTGTGGGGTAATCAAGGTCTGATTGAGGGTGACGAGATACGTACCTGGTACATGAAGAGAGGTCAGCGATGGTGTTGGCAGTCATGTACATTGGTCTTCGTGAGTCGAAGTCATCCTGTTGCGGGAACCAGCTGTAGGTAGGATAGTCTGGTAGAGTAGGCTGGGCGCTGAGCGCCAGAAAGAGCAGAGCGACTTTGGATACTGTGTTGGTGTGGCCTACGGGCTTGAACATTGGCTCATTACTTCATTGTATTGCTCTCTATATGGATGGTTTACTCGGTGCATTTGTACTCTCTGCTTGGGACACGACTACTTGGTCAGCTGTGTGATTTCCCAACTTGGTTTTATGTATATCGCTCACAGTCATATTCCTTGCACTACCATTTTCTTTTTTTGTCTTCTTGTTGTTTTTTTTTACGGCCCTTTTCTTTTCCCGGCACGAAAAGTGAAAAAATGTACCCTGAGCTGGGAAGGAGGGAACGCAGCCCGATGAAGCCCTGTGCTACCCGGCGTACTCGCTGTCCGGAGACGGCCGTGCTCTGCGTCGGCAGCGAGGGTGGGATTCAGGGTGTGGGGTGGAACGATGTTTTCCTCGATGATCTCTAGGTTCGGCCATCGCCCTCAGCTCCGACAAGGAGCTGTGTCTCCCTGTCGAATACCAGAGAGCAGGGCGATTCCAACTCCTACAACAGACATCCTACAACAGACTCTACAAGAGTCAAGTAACAAGTGCAGTGTGAACACGACGAAGGGAGAGTGAGTCCAGTACGGGACAGCGGGCACATCCAACAGCCGCACCTCTGGAGGCAGTGGGTGGGCAGCCGGTGGTGGTGGGACTGGTGTTGGGAGTTGGGAGGAGCAGGTGAGAACTACTGTTGACTATCTCTACTGGGAGCGTGAAGACCTGAAGCTCTACGGGCGGCGGCGCCACCAATGGGAGTGGGAGTTCCTCTGGTGGTGGTGGGAGCGACTCAGTTGGAATTAAGGGCGCTGAGTGTTAACTAAGCCACTCTCTAGCACGAAATATTTAGAGTGCATTAACCCAGCCATATTTTTTTACTCCTTATGAGTGGCTTACTTCATGACTATCGTGCACGATAATATCTGGAAATACTGTCACCCTCTGTCAAGCTCCTGCTGCTATGTGCTTTGGTGTCACTGGCGGCAATCTTGATTGTATTTAGTCATTGTACTTAGTCATTAGTATTCCGTATCTGGGCATATGTTTTGTTTGGTGCACTCTTCCTTTGTTTTCTTCTATGCAAAACCTCGTGTAGTGCAGTATTTTGCTCATACTCTGCATTGGGTCGTAAGGTTGGATTAAGGCAACCCTCCATCCCTATTCCCATATCAGAGCCCTAGTATAACATAGTAATTCCAAAATTGCGTGTAACGTTTATCTTACCGAATCTTACCTGATCTAGAGGCTATTTCAAGGAATCTTCACTGTGGGTTCTCGGCTTTAGTTTGGTTGGTAAATGTCGAAGGTTGGGGGTTGTTCGTAGAAGGCAACGGAACTATTGGAGGTGGTGGGAGACGTAATAGTTGTGGGAACGTTGCCGACCTACTAGGGCACAATTGAATAGCATTTAGCTGTCAAGAGAGCATACTTGGGTTGTGCCCATTCAGATCTAGGGTGCCTGGGAGATGGCAGTTCCTACAGAGGTCCAAGGGTGCAAGGTGGGAAACCTCGTCACGGCAACCCAGGCTCCCCACGACTACTAGCTGCTCTGTCGGGCCAGTATTGGTGCTGTATTCCGTTGGTGGAAATTACTTGATCTGCTGTTGGGCGAATCCTTTTCTTCAACTCTCCAGATTCCTTTCTAGTTCACAATCTGTTATTTGGCTTTGTTGAGTAGGGTTTAGTTAGGGTCTCGTTACACACTCCTAAAAGTGCCTGTTTTTAGGATTGCGTCTTCGTTGCACGCAATCCTAAATCCAATTTCGAGATCGAAAATGTGAAAACGGTGTTAGGACGAGTCCTAAAGGATTTAGGATTCCCCAGGCAAAATCGTCCTAAATTTTCCAGTAGCCCCCGACCTACTGAAAAATTTAGGATTCCCGCGTTTCACAGACTCGTTGCGTCGCGCGCATGGCCCCGTCGACACGGGGTTGCTGGTCCAGGAGCGGTCCGTCGGGTGGGTGGTCGAACATCGGAGGTTTTCTGCGGGTCGACGCCGACAACGGCCACCAACGGTAGCCGTTGGCCGACGGGGTGGAGCGAGGGGGGCCGAGCGTGGGGGGGCGGGCGTCCGTAGTGGACCGTTGGCTCGGTTGCGGGTAGCGGAGGACGACGACGACGTGCGTGGGACGACATACGGAGGCGCTTCCGGCAGTGCGCGGGCGGCAACGGTCGATTTTTGAATCGCAGGCAGGCACCTTTGTCGTCTACTCTGGTGGTTGTCGGCATATGAAGGTCCAGCGGCCCTATCCACCGGCATGCCAAAAGAAACTTCTGCAGTAGTCGCGTGGAAGGGTGGATGTCTGCGATTGAATTGATGGCAGACATGCACAGGAGATTGCCTCTGCTGGTGCTCGCTGTGGTCGTCTTCCTCTTTGTCGTCTTCCTCCACGTGTGTTTGTCGTGTCGGCCGTGGAGGCAACGTCGCAAGCGGAGGGCATCAACAAAACGGCAGGGAGGGGAACGTTCGATGGCGGGCATGCAGGCACGCGCGGTTCTGGCTGCAGGTCAGGGAAGAAGACGACCTGCAACGGCGAAGCCTCGATGGCGGTACGACCCGTCCATGTACACCAATCTAGAGTCATGGGTGACGCCACTGCCCCCGTCGGACGAGGAGCCGGAGATGGAAGAACTTCCAACGTTGCCTCTCGCCAGCGGGTCGACGCAGTTGTTGTCACAGACGGTGCGAGCAGGTGGGTCAGCTAGCAACGAAGGCGGCGAGTTCACCTCACTCCTGCACCAAGGCTTGGGAGACGACGACGACGGAGGACTTGATCTCAGGTTCGGGTTGTGTTCTGGCGGCGCTAGGGAGGCGAGCCGTACGTTCATCATCGACGCCGATCCTTCGCCACGTGGCCTTCAACATGTTGGAAGTGATCATACGGAGCAGTCCACACTTCGTGGTGGTGCGTCCGTTACTGGCGGTGTCGGGCCATTGGCAGCAGCCCGGCAGCATGGATCGACTGCACCGTCCACCGATCGATTGACAAGTACCTGGCCCGCACGCACTGGAGTCGCATCCGGGTCCCTGCGCATCAGCGGTGCACGTCCTTCGATGTCCAACCCGACCAGAGGGACGAGGGCGCCCGCATACCACCGGCGCGTCCAAGACCTGCTGTGGAGAACATCACACGAGGAGTCTCAAACATGCGGGCACACAGCGATGGCGGCGACGACGATGGCGGTGGCGGTGACGATGCCGACGAAGGATTGAGGGAGGACGTGGAAGCAAGGGACGACGATGACGACATTCCTATTCGGCCTTTGGGGAAGACGGGTGGGAGGGGGAAAGGACGTTGCAGAGGTGCTGTTCGTGGTCGATCCGTTGGGTGTGGCGGCAGAGGTGGAGTCAGCGACGACGGCGGGAAGTCTGCGACGTACTGGTCTCCGGAAGACCAAATGCTCCTGGTCAGATGCAAGCGGGAGCAAGAGATGCACCTCGCCGGGCTGAGTCAAAATTACGGGCGGATGCGGACCAAGGAGTGGAAGTGGGACGACATTGCGAAGCGCATGGCGAACGCGGGGAGGCCTAAAGACGCCGACGACTGCATGAAGAAGTGGGACAATCTCTTCCAAAACTACAAGAAGATACAGAGGTTTCAGAATGCCAGCGACCAGGCAGATTTCTTCAGGCTATCGAATGAAGAAAGGAAGGAGCACAACTTCAAGTTTCGGATGGAGAGGGTGTTGTACAACGAGATCCACGCAGGCATCCTAGGGAACCATACAATTTTCCCTCCCAACGTCGCCGACACCGGAAATCCGGAAGGGGTGCAGCTGCCAGTCAAGGAGCCGTTGGTGGGGAGTCTGTCGGTAGCGAGGCTGGTGGTGACGGATGCCCTGAAGAATGTTCTTCTGCGAGGGACTCCGACAACAACGCAGGCAGGGGGGTTGGAGGCGGGAAGCGGAAGAATGCGCGTCAACAGGCGTTGGAGTCGATCGCTGATGTCATGGACCGCCATGGCGAACTGATGTCGGGGACGATCGATTCGTCTAGCAAGCGGCAATGCAGCATATTCACGAGGCAATGCGATATACTAGAGCAGGAATTTGCAGTCCAAAAAGCGAACTATGTGGCGTCCGATGAGACGCAGAGGATGATGTGCCACGCGCTTATGGAGATCGCTGCTGCCATCCGTGGTCGGTCGCCTATGTAGGCCGTTCGATCGTGTGTTGGTTGAAGTCCAACATTGCGTTCGTAGATAGCTTAATTTTTTATTTTATTTTTTTTCACGGATTCTTCTATCGAGGAGCACGGTGGTAGACCGCACTGTGTGTGTGTGTGTGTGTGTGTGTGTGTGTGTGTGGTGTGTGTGTGTGTGTGTGTGTGTGTGTGTGTGTGTGTGTGTGTGTGGTGTGTGTGTGTGTGTGTGTGTGTGTGTGTGTGTGTGTGTGTGTGTGT